TTCCCGACACGTTTGTTCACTCACTGCAAACCCAGGGAAGTGGACTGGGCAGAAATCTCTATTTCTGCTCTGCAGAGAAGGGGACTCGGGGAGCCAGGGCCTGTCCAGCAGCTTCGGCCAGTGAGGACAGGGTGGAAACAGGAGAGGTGGTATATGCCAATCACTGCAGCACATAACGGCTCCAGCCCCCAGAACAAACAGCACAGGCATCATGATCTGAAATTTGTCCTTTGAATATCTTTGAAGAACTGTGATGGAATCTTGATGGGGATTGCATTGAAACTGTGGATTACTTCTGGTAAGATGGCCACTTTTACTATATTAATCCTACTGATGCATGAGCATGGGAGATCTTTCCACCTTCTGCAGAGACAAGGAATGGAGGACAGACAAACCTAAGGCTGCCCCAAAGGGTATCTGAAAGTCTTCCCTGGAGGAAGACGGAATGACCTACATTGCAGGCTGAAGCAGGCTAGTGCAGCATCAGGGACTGTTAAGGCAGGGACTCCCCAGATGCACTGAGTGGATCAGAGCTGGAGCAGGTGCTTACCTGTCACTCTGGCCTGGAGGAAATGTTTCACTTGTTTAAATGCTGGCTCAATGGCTGGGATGGCTGAATACTCCAGCCTTATGTTATCTTTCTCTTGTTTGGGTGGGGGAAAATGCCTGACATAACAGTCTACCGCAAAGAATTATTTACTTTGTGTCATAGTTTCAAAAGTTTCAGTCTGTGGTCCTTGACCCCCTGGGTTGTGAGCCCGTGGTGAGGTAGAGCTTGATGGCAGAAACAGGTGGCAGAGACCACTGAGCTCACAGGTGACAGGGAGCAGAAGGCAGAGCTGTTGCTTTCCTGTGCTCTCATTCAATCCCACCTGTGTTCAGTGACTCCGCCCCCTAATTAACCCTCTCTGGAGACAAGCTCGCAGGCACACCTGTGGTGCTTTCCCAGTCTCAATACACTCACAGAGATACTCAAATGTAACGTCACAGGATGGTTGGTTTGTATCCTAACTTACTCCTAAGCTGCATCCCGTGGACAGCAGCTTCTGACACAGAGGTGTGTAGTGGTCTTTGCACATCTCAGACAGGCTGCAGACTAGCACCCTTAGAGACAGCCATGAAGCACTCTGCAGAAAGAATGCTGTGTCCTAGTCCAGATTCCAAGAAGCACAGCCCGTTGGTTAATAATAAAGCACTGTTGGCCAATAGGAAAGCAAGATAGGCGGGACTAGGAGACAAGGAGGAGAGAGGAAGTAGTAAGGAGGAGTCAGCATGGAGAGACTGTGGAGACGCTGGCCCCTCTCTTCAGTAAAATAAGACCATGTGGAAATACTTAGATTAATAGGAGTGGGTTAATAATTAAGACAGCTAGCCAATAAGAAGCCATACTCATCAGCCAACAGTTTCATAACTAATATAGTATCTGTGTTTATTTGTGGCAAAACAGCTGTGGGAACCTCACGTTACACTAAGTATTTCCACATGGCCTCATCTTACCCGAGAGAGCAGCTACCTTCCCAGTCTCACGCGGCACCTGCTCTCTGCCTGCACCTCCCAGATTCTCCTCTCCTAGTCCCACCCATCTCCCTGCCTCTATTGGCCACACTACTTTATTCATCAACCAATAAGAGAAGCATATATACAGAAGGACCTCCCCATCATATAAGCCCCTCCTCTGCCGTGACGGCTAATTCTGCATGTCTCCTGGGACAAAGAGCACAGAGATATTTGGTGAATCATTATATTATGTCTGTCTTTCTGGGTGGTAATAATATCTGAATCTGTAGGGCAAACCAAAACGACCTCCCGTTGTGGCTGGCCCCACCCAACCAATCCAGGAGAGGCTGGGGTGGAAACAGATTGCTAGGCAAGGAAGGGTGCTGTCACTCTTTATTGTTAACCTGTGACATCAGTCTTTTCTGTGTCTGTCTCAGCCTTGAACTGAAGCCTACACCATCTACATTCCTGGCCCCCAGCTGTGTCTGGACCCAGACTGGAGCCATCAGCAAACACTCATGAGTCCCCAGCATGGCAAACACAGATCATGAACTTCTCAGGCTCTGGAGTTCCACAAGCCAACTTGTCAGTGAATCACAGGATGTGTTGGTTCTGCCTTTCTGGAGAATCTAAGCTACTAACATACCTGTTGGAAAACACTACTTACCACACCCCCTCCTCTTTTCTTATTTTATTTATTTACTTTTTTTTATTATCACTGCCATGGTGATTACTGTGTATCTGCTTTGTTGGCTTCCTGATCTCTGACCTTATGGACAAAAGCCAGAAGAGTAATGATGCCTAACTACTTCATTCAGGGAGAAAGGCACAGCCCGAGGACCAGACTCTCAGGAAGAGATATGGGTTTTCCTGTCTGTAGACCAGTCAGTGGGTTGTAGGTAGGAAGTTTGCAGCTGGAATTGCTTTCTCCTCCTTCTCCTCCTCCTCCTTCCCTTCTCAAACTTCTCAAACTCCTTCTCAAACTCAGAGAACTGCCTACTTCTGCCTCCCAAGTGCTTGGAATTGCTTTTTCAAAAAGGGCACATCTCAGTCAGAGGGCTGAACGGGGGTGTTCCACTCTGTGCCTAACTAGCTTCAGGGAGACAAACGTAGTTTAAGTAAATCATTCATGAGTCAAAACCAACAGACCAAACAACAAACCCAGAGAGTGGGTAGTCTTTATTGACCTCTTAAGATGTTGTACACCTTGCAGAGTCTCTCTGGAACCCTGAGCAACTAGCCAGCAAGAGAACAGCAACTTCCTCCATTAATGGCTCTTTGTAGGTGGTGAGATCCATAATGCAAAAGAGCAGATTTACCAACTTTGGGTTTTAGGGTTCAACATTATCAACTTGGACTTGAAGTGTGTCCGGACTGACCTCGATCTTATACAGCAAGTGTGCACATAGGCCACGAATGACACACGTGTGCAGTGTGACGGAATAGAGATGATACTGAAAACATTACCAGAGGAGGTGAGCTGCCCTGTGCTGAGGTAGTTTCTTAGGGGCAGCAAAATCCCTGCTGGGCTTCTGTGGTGGGACACGGCATCACACCACGGTAGCCTCATACCCCGGATCCCTGAGACGCGCATGCAGGGACTCTGGGAGAAATCAGAGCATGTTTCGCAGGACTCTGCCTTGTAGTCGGTTCTGCTACATCACAGATGTGGACCTTCTCAAGAGGTCCCATTCTGAGCCTTGTTTCTGGACGAGAATCCCGAGCATCCCATTCGGGCTCTTGTGAATGGTATATGATAAAAAATAAACCAAGCACTCCGCGCTGAACCTCATCATGCAGCAATATCTCAGCAAATCAGAATGTCCTCATCTATTGTTCCCCAACATGTACCCACTCCTCAACCCAACTCTACCCGTTGTGGGGATCCGTCACCCCACGGGGCTGGGGACACCACTACAGACAAGGAAAAAGACATCCGAGGACACCCTGTGAGATCATCTAGCTCCAACCCTGGAGCTTCACTCTACCCTGGAGCTAGACTCTACCCTGGAGCTAGACTCTACCCTGGAGCTTCACTCTACCCTGGAGCTAGACTCTACCCTGGAGCTTCACTCTACCCTGGAGCTAGACTCTACCCTGGAGCTAGACTCTACCCTGGAGCTTCACTCTACCCTGGAGCTAGACTCTACCCTGGAGCTTGACTCTACCCTGGAGCTTGACTCTACCCTGGAGCTTCACTCTACCCTGGAGCTAGACTCTACCCTGGAGCTAGACTCTACCCTGGAGCTTCACTCTACCCTGGAGTTAGACTCTACCCTGGAGCTTCACTCTACCCTGGAGCTAGACTCTACCCTGGAGCTAGACTCTACCCTGGAGCTTCACTCTACCCTGGAGCTTCACTCTACCCTGGAGCTTCACTCTACCCTGGAGCTTCACTCTACCCTGGAGCTTCACTCTACCCTGGATGGATTCGCATCTTTTTCTCTGTCTGGGTGTAGGCATGGGGGCCAGACGAGGGCATTAGATCTGTGACAGGAACTGAACGTCCTCTTCAAGAGCAACAAATCCTATTAACTAATGAGTCAAATTATCAATAAATTAACTCCAGTCACCAAATTAATATGTATGCATGCATGTATGTATACATACATACATACATATGTATTTTTAATGACTAAAAACAAGCGGGAATGATGCATGACAATTGTTTCTGGAAAGTCTGATCTGGGCTTGGTGGCTGACACTGTAAGCCCCAGTTCTTGAGCTGGGAAGGGGCTGTCCAGCTTTGAAGTGAGCGTACACAACATAACATCTTAAAAATAAATGCTTCCCATTTGTAAAAAGCTCAATTGGTGGCCCCGAACTTTCTACTGAAGCAGCACATTTAAAGTCATGTTTCTTAGAAAGTATGCTTTTTATAGCTGTATTTCTTCCTCTGGCTTCACACAGAACTGTCTTTCATGAAAACAAGCCATTCAAAGAATAGCTTTGTCAGCGTTGATGTAAAATCAAGACAGCTTTGTATCTCAGTGCATGGGCATAGCTCCAAAGAACATGAATAAGTACCTGTACTCATTTATGTCCTGGGAATGGATGTCACAGGCCAAAAGAAAGAACAGTCTGCAGGACTGATATGGCGGGCATCTCCTGACTCACGCCAGGTGACTTACGTTGACATGTTCTCTGACGTGAAACCCCCCTAACCCTCCACCACACTTACAAAACACAGCGCTGTCACCTACCAATGAGGGATAAGGGGAACATTTAATGTGTCAAAAACAACACATAAAGATACTTTTTATTTTGAAAAGAACTGATGCAAGTTTTTATAAGCCACATAAATTATGGCAAAAAGTGGGGACACTGGTTTACTTAGGTTAAAAATATTTATTCCAAGCAGATTCCCTTTTCCCCATATTAAAAAGAAAATAAGACTGGAAACATTTAGAGACTGGAAGCTGGTTAGACCCAACCCTAAATCCATGATCAGATAAAATACCACACTAAGGGAAAGAGACTGGAAAGAACAAACCCCCCATAAGTCAAATTGATCCTTAACATTTTATTAGACTTTAATTAAGCACATAAAACTGTACTACTTAATATATTTCTCCATGAACTTTTTGTGAAATTCAGATCGAAGTGTATCATTTACAAATCTTTTGTCTTTCTTCTGATCATCTATACCTTTTGCACAGTTCTTGAAAACGACGTCATCGTCCCACCTAAAAGGGAGAAAAATAAAATAAATCCTTACAATTTTATCAGGAGACAAGAATACCACACAGGCTGTAATGTAAAGCTTGATCAACACAGACACTCAGCAAGCTGCCACTCGACAACAAATGAACCACTGTGCCTACGGTGGGCGGCTGTCACTCAGAGCACAAAGATCGGCCCAAGTGTCCATTAATACTGAAGACGAATCTGCTGAGGAGCCCAGAGCAGAGCTCAGCTGATTTCAGAAGGCATGCATGGGAGGGTGCTGTGGAGTGTAGTGTATACAGAAGGTGCTGTGGAGTGTGTGTATACAGAGGGTGCTGTGGAGTGTGTGTATACAGAGGGTGCTGTGGAGTGTGTGTATACAGAGGGTGCTGTGGAGTGTGTGTATACAGAGGGTGCTGTGGAGTGTGTGTATACAGAGGGTGCTGTGGAGTGTAGTGTATACAGAGGGTGCTGTGGAGTGTGTGTATACAGAGGGTGCTGTGGAGTGTAGTGTGTATACAGAGGGTGCTGTGGAGTGTGTGTATACAGAGGGTGCTGTGGAGTGTGTGTATACAGAGGGTGCTGTGGAGTGTGTGTATACAGAGGGTGCTGTGGAGTGTGTGTATACAGAGGGTGCTGTGGAGTGTAGTGTGTATACAGAGGGTGCTGTGGAGTGTGTGTATACAGAGGGTGCTGTGGAGTGTAGTGTATACAGAGGGTGCTGTGGAGTGTGTGTGTATACAGAGGGTGCTGTGGAGTGTGTGTATACAGAGGGTGCTGTGGAGTGTGTGTATACAGAGGGTGCTGTGGAGTGTAGTGTATACAGAGGGTGCTGTGGAGTGTGTGTGTATACAGAGGGTGCTGTGGAGTGTGTGTATACAGAGGGTGCTGTGGAGTGTGTGTACACAGAGGGTGCTGTGGAGTGTGTGTATACAGAGGGTGCTGTGGAGTGTGTGTATACAGAGGGTGCTGTGGAGTGTAGTGTATACAGAGGGTGCTGTGGAGTGTGTGTATACAGAGGGTGCTGTGGAGTGTGTGTATACAGAGGGTGCTGTGGAGTGTAGTGTGTGTATACAGAGGGTGCTGTGGAGTGTAGTGTGTATACAGAGGGTGCTGTGGAGTGTGTGTACACAGAGGGTGCTGTGGAGTGTGTGTATACAGAGGGTGCTGTGGAGTGTGTGTATACAGAGGGTGCTGTGGAGTGTGTGTATACAGAGGGTGCTGTGGAGTGTGTGTATACAGAGGGTGCTGTGGAGTGTGTGTATACAGAGGGTGCTGTGGAGTGTAGTGTATACAGAGGGTGCTGTGGAGTGTGTGTATACAGAGGGTGCTGTGGAGTGTGTGTATACAGAGGGTGCTGTGGAGTGTAGTGTGTGTATACAGAGGGTGCTGTGGAGTGTAGTGTGTATACAGAGGGTGCTGTGGAGTGTGTGTATACAGAGGGTGCTGTGGAGTGTGTGTATACAGAGGGTGCTGTGGAGTGTGTGTATACAGAGGGTGCTGTGGAGTGTGTGTGTATACAGAGGGTGCTGTGGAGTGTAGTGTGTATACAGAGGGTGCTGTGGAGTGTGTGTATACAGAGGGTGCTGTGGAGTGTAGTGTGTATACAGAGGGTGCTGTGGAGTGTAGTGTGTGTATACAGAGGGTGCTGTGGAGTGTGTGTGTATACAGAGGGTGCTGTGGAGTGTAGTGTGTATACAGAGGGTGCTGTGGAGTGTGTGTATACAGAGGGTGCTGTGGAGTGTAGTGTGTATACAGAGGGTGCTGTGGAGTGTGTGTATACAGAGGGTGCTGTGGAGTGTAGTGTATACAGAGGGTGCTGTGGAGTGTGTGTATACAGAGGGTGCTGTGGAGTGTGTGTGTATACAGAGGGTGCTGTGGAGTGTGTGTATACAGAGGGTGCTGTGGAGTGTGTGTACACAGAGGGTGCTGTGGAGTGTAGTGTATACAGAGGGTGCTGTGGAGTGTGTGTATACAGAGGGTGCTGTGGAGTGTAGTGTATACAGAGGGTGCTGTGGAGTGTGTGTACACAGAGGGTGCTGTGGAGTGTGTGTATACAGAGGGTGCTGTGGAGTGTGTGTATACAGAGGGTGCTGTGGAGTGTGTGTGTATACAGAGGGTGCTGTGGAGTGTAGTGTGTATACAGAGGGTGCTGTGGAGTGTGTGTATACAGAGGGTGCTGTGGAGTGTAGTGTGTATACAGAGGGTGCTGTGGAGTGTAGTGTGTATACAGAGGGTGCTGTGGAGTGTGTGTATACAGAGGGTGCTGTGGAGTGTGTGTATACAGAGGGTGCTGTGGAGTGTGTGTATACAGAGGGTGCTGTGGAGTGTGTGTGTATACAGAGGGTGCTGTGGAGTGTGTGTATACAGAGGGTGCTGTGGAGTGTGTGTATACAGAGGGTGCTGTGGAGTGTAGTGTATACAGAGGGTGCTGTGGAGTGTGTGTACACAGAGGGTGCTGTGGAGTGTAGTGTGCACACGTCTCCTCTCACACAGTAGTCACTAGTGGGATGTCTTGGCTGTCCTCCTGTCCGGCTGCTTGCTCCTAGCCTAGGGTTTTAGATGCCAAGGCTACTTTCAAGCACTTACTGTGACTTACACTGTGCACTAACTACTGCAGGCACTGACACAGCCCTGACTCCCTCTGCCCATGCTGTCACTCCCACAGGAGTTATTTCCAGCTTGAACCAACTGCAGAAACACACAGGCCAGATGCACTTAGAGATGCACAGAGCACTGCAAACCTAGCATGCCCGACCTGTCCCTCTTCCAGGCGCAGCAGAAGCCACCCTCCTGCCTTGCGACTGCTCAGGTCAAATGCTTAGTCTGGTCTCTGAAAACTGCTCCTTGTCAGCAGCTGAGTGTACTGCTGTCTTCAAGAATGTGCGCTAAAGTTTTAGCTTTATGTCACAAGAACTGTTCTTTTACTGTGCCGAGCTTAGAGGACAGCAGCTATTATCGACTTTAAAAGAGCCTTGGTGCTGGAATGCGGACAGAGCTTTCTGTGTGCATGAGCAGGGGCATGCACTTTGTGGGTGTGGGGACGGGGACGGGGACGGGGGTGGGGGCAGGAGAGCGCTGGGGCAGCGCTTCATCCTGGCGTGACAGCCGTCGTGGAGGTGCCAGGAAGGGAAGGCAACAGGGCTGGCCCCTCACAGCTGACACACGGCAGCCCCCCCCAGCTCCTTCCTGTAAGGGCTCACTCTGCTTTCCTGTACACCCCACCCGCCATCACACCGTGCACACTTTCTCTCGCTCGCTCGCGCCCTCTCCCGCCATCACACCGTGCACTTTCTCCTGCCAGCTCGCTTGCTCGCACCCTCTCCCAGCCCTGCCTCCCAGCCTCCGGTTTCACTGCTTAGTGACCGCTCCCAGGGAATAGGAGTGTAAGGAGGTCTAAGTTTCCCACCTCGTGACCTGGATGCATATCCACGAATATTCACAACTGTATGACCTGTGCGTTTCTTACAGTATCAAACATCAATAAGGCCATGCCAAGTCCCCTGAACGCTTCTACACCTGAACTATGAGGGGCTCTTGAGGACCCTCGCACATCTCACACACTGGTGGCGTAGCTATGGTCATATTGAGACTGCTGCTCGGCAGACACTTGGTTATTATGAGTGTGCATTAAAGTGAAGCCATCCTGCAACCCTTCCTTCTCCCATTAGTCACAAATCTGACTGAGGGTAAAAGAGGAGGCAGGGCCTTAGAAGCCTTATGCAACAAACACAATACCAATCATGGACCACACACTCATGACAACCTACTACCTTTTCCCTCCTTGGTGGAGACAGGGTTTGTATGGTCCTGGCTGTCCTAGAACTGGAGCTACAGACCAGGCTGGTCTCAAACTCACAGGTCTGCCTGTCTCTGCCACCCAAGTGCAGGGATTAAAGGTGTGCCACCCCCGACCGGCCAACCCATGACTTTCAGTACCTTCTTTTAACCTTGAAGTTGGCCTGTGGCTGGGATGGGCCAGTGAGATTAAGGAGGGGGTTTCCACTCAGAATATTCTCCATTCGAATTCTCTCTTCCTCTGCTTTTTGTTCTTGTTCCTGTCACATACAGAGGCAGACACAAAGTTACTAACTCCAGGTCCACAAACCTTCCCCAGATGGCACAGGGAGAAGGGAACATTTTCTTTCTCCTTCTTTCCCTTCTCTTTTTGGAGACAGGTTCTACTGTAGCTCAAGCTGGCATGGAACTTGCTAGGTAGCAGAGGATGACCTTGAACTTCTGACCCACCTCCCGAGTGCATGGCTGTGCACCACAGGTGTGACCTAGGGCTTCGTACACGGCAGGAAAGCATTTTACCAACTGACTCACTCCTCTTCTTGTTTCTTGATAAATATCAGAAAAATCTTATTCAAAAAAGTAAATACTCTGCCGTTTTTATTACAAATATCACTGCCAACAGTCATCAGGCTCTCTCTAAATTGTGACAGGCTAAGATGCAGATGTAAACATTTGATTTAGTTACAGAGAGTTCAGGAGCATATTAATAAACATTTAAGAACATATCATCAAAGACTACTTCAGCAAGGCTAACACTTTGCTTTTTAAAAGATTACAGACAACACACTGAATGTTAATTTTACATTATTAACAATGTAAGCTTCCATCTCTAGAATTGCTGAGTTATTAACTAAGGTAGACTATTTTACTATTTTTTACATTTAATTAGAAGACTGAAGTTCAAGTCCACTTGTTCTTTTTTCTGTTTTTTTTTTTGAGACAGGGTTTCTCTGTATTGCTTTGGAGCCTGTTCTGGAACTCGCTCTGTACAGCAGGCTGGCCTCCAACACACAGAGATCTTCCTGCCTCTGCCTCCTGAGTGCTGGGATTAAAGGCGTGGCCACCAATGCCCGGCTATCGCTCGTTTGTTCTTAAACTGAGCAACATTATTCATGAGTGAACTATCTGAAAGGGTTTCACATAATTAGGGAGTTAGACTCCATTTAAAAGGACAGATCTATAGGTGTCACCGTATTTGGACATGGTGTTTCCTAGTGAATGATTCCCCCAGAGTTAAGAAGAATTCTGGTTTAGAGTGTGTGACGGGGAGGTGTGAATTCCAAACTCTACCTTTCTGGCCTGTTCTTCAGCTCGTTCCTTCTTGATCTTTTCCAGCTCTGCGAGAAGAGCTGCGGTATCATCGTCATCGCTCTCTTCTTCAAAGTCCTCATCTTCCTCCTAGGACAGATCAGGGTGACCCAGGGTCCAGAAAGAAAACTCACTACTCACCTTCCACACAGAAACCCTACTCACCAAGTCTTTGGAACAGAATTAATTTTCCTAATTGAAAAGCAAATGTACCAAATATCGTAGTTAAGACCAACAATCAATAAAAATATGATAAATAAAACCCAACAAAAAATTATGAATACTAACTAAAATATCAACTCCTGATAAAGTATCTTTCATATTTAGAAGGTCAAAAAGAATTTTCTTTTTTGGGGAGGAAGGGGAAGGAGGTTAAGGCAGGGTTTCTCTGTGTAACAGCTCTGTCTGTGCTGGAACTTGCTTTTAGAACAGGCTGGCCTCGAACTCACAGAGATCCACCTGCCTCTGCCTCCTGAGTGCTGGGGATTAGAGCTGTGTGCCCTACCACCAGGCCATAAAGGATTTTCATATGGAAACATTCCAAAACAAGTACTGCTTCAGAATGAAGCAGTGTAGTGTACAGTGTCTCACCTCAAAAGAGTTCATGGAGCTCAAAATGACCGCGTTAGCAGGCCAGAGTGCTAAGATTGCAGATGAAGGTATTTTGAGTGAGTAACAGAATTTCACTTAACGTAAAGCTTCTTATTTTATTGACTGTCGACTCTATAATTGCTGACATATGTATGCAATCAGACACTGCTTTAAAAAGGTCATGTATGTTCAGTTATCCAGAAAGTGGCACGGTGGAATCCGGTGTGGAAGGTACATTTGTAAACCCAGCACTCGGGAGGGTGAAGTAGAGGTGGGCCTGGAGGGTTCCGGTTAGCATCCATGCTCAATCTGTTCAGATTGCTTGCCTCCCTAATCATGAAGGGGCCATGTGCGTTGCATGTCTAAAAAGGGCATGGAGGCGCTGTTCACAGGGCACTCAGCCTGAGAGTGCCCCATAGAGTCACAGCAAGGAACCTTAACCTTCCACACGACTGACAATTCAGTCACAGGTCCTTTTCCACAGACTGCTTTCATGCAGGCCTCCAAACTAAGCCTCGAGTAAAAGAACTGACCCAGAAGAATACTTCGTCTTAAGAACAATTATTATATTTTAAATTTAAGTAACTTAAATTTAAATAATTAAAATTTAAAATTGAGGTCAATAATATATTTCAGGAACAGGAGGCAAAACTAAATGCAGATCATTTCACAAAGTCAAACAAGCTGGGCCCAGCGGCAACCAAACAAACCACGACCCAAACAAAAGCTGAAGCACATACATCTGTGAGCGGGTCATCGGCATCAAGGTTGGCAGCAGGAATCTGGTCTAAGCGGGGCTTCTTTGACACTGAAGAGGAAGTTGTATGTTCTGAAGAAAACAAACATTTAGCTTAATGAAGTAAATACTGCATCTAAAAATAGCATTTTAGAAACTTCTGGGCAAAAAGAATGCACACACAACAGTGACTGGCAGGGAATCACTCAGTGGCTGGCAAATAAGCCTTTGATAAATATTTGGTAGTAAATATTAAACGAATTAATGAGTTATGATGATCACAGCGTCTCAGGAAACTTAGCCAATGTTCACACACACTAGAAACACAAGACGCTTCTCCATTTCACAGAGAATAAATAAAACAGGCAGCTCTGCAGCTCTGGACAGAAGGCCTGGGTTCCAGCTGCCGTAAAGCCGGTCTATTGACAGGAACTGTATTGACAGGTACTGAAAGGATCGCTTTTAAACACCCAGATCACCATTTCTTCTAATACCAAAGCATGGGAAAATCAGACTGGAATGAACCCCATCATCATCTCTAATCACTTATCAAAGAGGAGTAGTGCACAAAAGTGTCATCTCCAGTGACCAAGACACAAACAGTTCCCACCCATAGCTGTGAGGCAGCAGACGCCCAGGCAGTGCCGGTACCTCGGGTTGGACGGTCCCTGTTTTTTTCCCTTGCAGCAGCTCGCTCTCTCTCTTCCAACTCTCTCCTAAAGTCACGGTTGCGGACCTCTTCAGGGGCATCCTGTGTAGTTTGTCTTAAGCAGAAAGAAAGTGGGTTAAAAATGTTACTCTCACTTGTCAAGGAAAAGAACCTCTATGGCTACAGCAATTTAAGACAATTCAGAATACAACAGTCTCTAATGCATAAAATGGAAGAGGTCAAAATAAAATTCTAATGTGAAGGGTTATCAATAGACAAGTGTGACGTTTCCAGTATTAGTATTAGAACAAACTGAAGCACACACTTTTCTCCACTATGGCTGCAGACTGGATGAAACTACCACAGTGCACAATTTTATTGTCTCCTTCGAATTCCATTTCTTTGAGGACAGGTAGCGTAAATGTAACAATCTAGACACAATCATAAGTCATGTGGGTGTGGTCCCAGTCTGTGAACTTGGCAGACGAAAGGCCTTATTACCTGTACTTTATCTTTGTATGAGAGGGGAGGTCTCTGCTTGAATACTGCTTTGAGAGCTGGCTCAAATCCCCTTCTCCTTTTCCTCTTCCGCCTCTTGCAGGCTCAAACGTTGGCCTGGCTGCTGTCGTCATCTTTTATCCTCTGACAAAAGTGAGATTAAGTTATATTCAGTAACACTCTCATCTTAGACATCATTCGTAAATATCTATCTTTATGACTAATTCTCAAAACTCTCCGTAAAATTGCTCAAGTAGTTTGCTTAAACACAAATTCCTAAAAGTGCAGAAAAACGAAACTCAACGTGTATACATGTCCTGCCAGGCAGCTCTTAGCTTAAACAAATGAATCAAGCGTATGAGGATCTGAGTTTGTGCTTTCGTTCTTCCGAGGTAGCCTTGGGCAAGTCCCCTGGCTCGTTTTTTGTTTTTGTCATCTCTGGAATGCTGGCACGTCTGCAGTATTACCATGACAATCCTGACACACGATGGTAGACGTTACACAACAGTGCTTTTAAAAAAATAGATGTTTGAAAAGTTCTTGTGGCCCGACCAGCACCAGCTCTGTTTTGCTGTGAGACAGGGTCTGGCTGCCCCGGAGCTAACTGTGCGGGTCGGGCTGGCCTCGAACCCTGCAGGGGCGGCCCGGGCTCTGCCGGAGGAAGGCGCGCGGGCACGCGCAGCCCAGGGCTGCGTTTCTGAGACCCCACACTCAGCAGCCAACCAACCCAGGGGGCGCCGATGTCTTCCGAGGTCCCTGATCCCCGCCGGCGCAGCCGAGCCCGAGCGAAGCCATTGGCCCCGCGGGCCTTCGGGGAGCGCGGCGCGGATCCGCCCGCCCGCCCGGCCTCCCGCCCGCCCGGCCTCCCGGCCTCCCGGGCCGCCGCAGTGCTCACCCGGCGGCGTGCGGCGTGCGGCGTGCGGCGTGCGGGCCCGGCGCGGCTCCCCGCTCACCCTCGCACCATCGCAGCTCCGCGCCGGGGCGGCAGCCCGAGACCGGAAGCGAGGCGCGACCCGGAAGCGGAGCCTCCGCGCTCCCAACGGCTGCGTCGGAAGCGCACACCCCGCAGCCGGAAGCAAACCCGGGCGTTTGAACCGTTGCTGCGGCCTCCAATCGGCGGCGACCCGGCAGGGGGAGTGGGCGTGGCGCCGTCGAGGGGCGGGGCCGCGGAGCCTTGGGGGCGGGCGTTTGAAAGCGGCGCCGCGGGGCCGAGCCTGAGCGTCGTCGCCTGCGAGTTCGAGGACCCGCTGCTGAATCCCTGCGCCTCTGCTCCCCGACCCGGCCCGGAGCGGACCCCGGCGCTGCGGGACAGACGGCGTGGGAGGCCTAGGGACTAGAGTGCCCGCCACTTAAGTGGACGTGAAGGAGGCGCAGATAGGGGCGGGCGGCCACGAGCCTTCCACAGGTACCAACCATTGCTGCGAAGCCACGAGCCTGGGAGGCAGGGGCTGTGGCGCATGGCTTGCCAAGGTGCAGATGCAGATATAGACTTAGGTGCATATATTTGCTAAGATGCAGATATAGACATAGGTGTATTTATTTGCTAAGATGCAGATGCAGATTTAGATATATGTATTTATATATTTGCTAAGATGCAGATGCAGATATAGATATATATTTGCTAAGATGCAGATGCAGATATAGATATATAGATGATAGATAGGTGATGTATATTTGCTAAGATGCAGATGCAGATATAGATACATATATTTGCTAAGATGCAGATGCAGCTATAGATGTATGCATATATATATATATATTTGCTAAGATGCAGATATAGACATAGGTGTATTTATTTGCTAAGATGCAGATGCAGATATAGATATATAGATGATAGATAGATGCATAGATGGTATGCATTAAGTAGGCGGCGCAGGGTGAGGGCACACGCCGGCCGTGAGCGTTAACGTTAACGACACTGAGCATTTACAGAACGGTGGGCCTAACTGCCAGGACGGGCATGAGCTGCAGTTAAGATGGCTTCCCCGACGTTGCCTTGGGGCCCCTGTCGTTGAGATCTTGGGAGACGGTAGACGCCCAATAAATACATGACCATTCCGGCGCTCTCCAGTCCTTCCTTTGGAACTTTTACATGAAGAAAGAGAATTAGAAAAGACCCCTCCCTCTCCCTGCCACCCCACCCCCACCCCGAAGAAGTCGAAGGTAGAATGCTTCTCTTCCTCATGGAAGCTCCGTACCTCCCTCAGCCGCACGCGACCTGAGACCGCTGCCCTCGGGTTAGCGGCTCAAACCCAAAGCGCAAGGTCTTCACACGCTGAGCTCCTGCCATCTCTGCGCAGTATTGGGAGAAGTGCCCTGAAGTTCGTTTCCCTGTCACCACACCCGTCCAGGCCGCTCTCCTTTTGTATTGGTCATTACCCCCGAATGGACCGTCCTGCGCTTTTGCGCAGAATGACCGAGTTTGGGTATTTAGGATAAAACAGCCACTTTTCGTAACTGGATTCTGACGCTTCTTTATAGTCTGTCTCCTGGCTTCAGTCAGCCATGGGTACACCACGCTCTAGACAGCTGGACATTGCTGTTTCTCAGAGCAAGGCAGGGGTCATGTTTACTTTGAGTTTTGAGACAAGCTCTTGCTTGGTAGCCCAAGCTGGCTTTGGACTTGAGGTCTATGTACCTTGCACTGACCACCCTCCTGCCATGACACTGTTGAGGGGTTTCCCTGTGCCCCACTCCTAGGCACACATTTATAGCCCCTAGTCCTGTCCTTTCATAATCCTGAACACCAGCTGGGTTTACTGTTGGCTTCCATTACCTTCCACAGCTTTTTCTTTTTGGTCTGAGCCAAAGTATTGAGACCCATCCTGTGTGCCTCTTTCGGCTTTAACCCGAGGGATCAGCTGTGTGCCTTTTCCCTTGGATGCCCTCCATCCCTTGTGCACAAGTAGGGGTAATTCTTTGTGGTACTGTAAGTGATTACATAATTATTTGTAAAGTGCTTAGAACTATCTCAGCAAGCAGACTTGCTAAGTCAGTATTGGCTGGTACTGATATTATTATTGTCTGTCTAACGGTATTAGAACCTGAATTTCAGAAAAGCAGGGACCCTGTATTCACTGGTGTCCTCTGCATATAGAACAGCGCTTGGTACATAATAGGTGCTGAGTAAGTACTGGTTGAATGAATGGATGGATGAATGAATGACATGTTATAAAAGAGGAATGAAATTTCCATAGTAGGGTGGTAACAGGAAAATGCCCAGTTTTTTTTTTTATTTCAGCTGCCTTAATCAGCCCCTCGATAAGTCCATTTAAATTTTGATTTATTAATTAACACTTGATTATTCCATTATAATTTAGCAAAAGAAAAATTAGTTCACAAAATTAAAAGAATTTGATTTCAATAGTCTGGAAGTATTAGTAAGAAAGGTAAAACAAAAAGAAAAAAAAGTTTTTAACTTACAGGACCTGCAGATACTAAGAAAATGATACCATAAAGTTTTTTACTTGAACAATGAAAACACTTAGGAAAGAGAAATAAAGTTGGAAAGATGTCTGCATTAGCCAGTGTTCTCCATAGGAACAGAGCTGGTAGCGTGAATATGTATTAATAGGAACAGAGCTGATAGCGTGAATACGTTTTAAAAGGAACAGAGCTGATAGCGGGAATATGTATTAAAAGGGTTTTACCAGATCGGCTTACATGATTTATTTAGTGTGAGTGTCCACACTGACGAGTCACAGCCCACAAGGCTGCATGTCCCAGCAGTCTCGAACAGCTCAGCTCCACTGTGATTCAGAATGCCTGAAGGGTTCCCTGAGAACGATTGGTCTTCATTCCTCTGTGGAAGAATGAAGAGCTGGATGCAGTAACAACAACATCCCCTGGTAGCAGCAGGGGATGAGCTGCACAGCCCTGAGAGCAGAGCGGGGATGAACTGCACAGACCTCAGAGCGGGGATGAACTGCACAGCCCTGAGAGCGGGATGAACTGCACAGACCTCAGAGCGGGGATGAACTGCACAGCCCTCAGAGCGGGATGAACTGCACAGACCTCAGAGCGGGATGAACTGCACAGACCTCAGAGCGGGATGAACTGCACAGCCCTCAGAGCGGGATGAACTGCACAGACCTCAGAGCGGGATGAACTGCACAGACCTCAGAGCGGGATGAACTGCACAGACCTCAGAGCGGGATGAACTGCACAGACCTCAGAGCGGGGATGAACTGCACAGACCTCAGAGCGGGATGAACTGCACAGACCTCAGAGCGGGATGAACTGCACAGACCTCAGAGCGGGGGATGAACTGCACAGACCTCAGAGCGGGATGAACTGCACAGACCTCAGAGCGGGATGAACTGCACAGACCTCAGAGCGGGGATGAACTGCACAGACCTCAGAGCGGGGATGAACTGCACAGACCTCAGAGCGGGGATGAACTGCACAGCCCCGAAAGCGGGATGAACTGCACAGCATGATGGAAGGCAAACAGGACAAACCCAAGGCTCTCCTGTGGGCCTTTGTCTGACTACCACTAATGGTGCCATTCTACTCAAAATAATCTGAGCAAGGAAATCCCTTACAGGTGGCTCTGCCCGCTTATCTCTTACTTGATTCCAGGTCCAGGACAGAACTAGCTGTCTCCTTCCCTGAAAACTTAAAATTCACTTGCCAGCTAACTTTCCTGGTAGAAATCATATACCTTATTAATCTTGCTTGATTTGCTTTTGTTTACAAGCAAGGTGTTACTAGGTAGCCCAGACTAACCTCCAATTTACTATGTAGCTTAGGCTAGCCTTATGTCAATCCTCTGCCTCAACTTCTCTGTGCTTTTATTTCAAACTGATTTCCACAGAAAGTAACCCTCTCCCGAGTTCCTCCTGTGATCATCTTATAGTTCCTTGCTCTTGCTGACTTTGTCTCTTGGCAATATTTTTCACATTTCCTTCAAAGCAGGCCTTTTCTCAAGCCTTTGTTTAGAGTAGAAGATCCTTGTGTGTGCGTGTGTGTGGGGGTGCACACATGTGTGTGTGTGTGTATGTGTGTACAGTTCCGTGTGTGTGTGTGTGTGTGTGTGTGTGTGTACTGTTCCTTGTATGTGTGTGTGTGTGAGTCTATGTGTGTGTGTGTGAGTCTGTGTGTGTGTGTACTGTTCCCTGTGTGTGTGTGTGTGTGTGAGTCTGTGTGTGTGTGTACAGTTCCATGTATGTGTGT